TGCAGAGTTTGCAAGCAGCATGGACATACTGGTAGAGTACCTTCATACACAAGCAGGGGTAAAAGCTGTTTTTCTGCAACTGTATGAATACACTTGATCAAGATTGGCACAAAATGTTACTCTGAAGCATCAACCAAGCACACTGGGTGAGAAAATAAGAGGGGCTCAATGGTAGAGAGCATTTGTGAAGGAATGTGTGGATGGTAGATGGCAGGTTATTATCAGGGGACAGACAATTGATCCACTTGTCAGAGGCTTTGAGAGATTGTTCAACAGCCGTGTCCTAGATACAGCGAAGAGGAAAGAAAAAAAAAGGACTCAAATTGGAAAGGGAGGGAGGTGAAGGGACTGAAAGAAAAACTGACGGCACAGGAAGAAAACCAGAAAGTTTTGACGAAGGAGGAGAAAAGGGCATCAGTATGATTCGATGAAGTAAAAGGGTACAGAGGGACGGTAAGTGGGTGGAAATGCGTAAACAGCAGAGGAAGACTGACAGAAATCTGGGGTAGATGGGGAAGATTAATGACGAACGGGGGGAGGATGTGGGGGGCGAGCTGAGAAGTGATGAAAACAAGATGATCTTGAGGAAAGAATGCCACGAGGACGACTTGACCTGAGAGGGGAACTGGGGCGGGGGGGGGAGGTGAGGTGAGGAGATACTGAGTGGTGAAATGAAAAGAAAGTGGTGATGATGAGCAGCCGAAATCTCGAGAATAAGGACAAGGGAGGGAATATAATAGAGATGGCAGCTCAACAGAAAGAGAGAGCGAGAGAGAGAGCGTGTCCTGGAAATATCAGCAGGAGATAAGAGGAGAATAAAGCCTGCTCACAGTCAGCTCTGGGTAAAAAGATTTTGACTTTCTCCCACTTCCAGAAATAACTCTGTCTCATGGCTTTGGTCACGTTACAGCTGTAAAACTGAGCTACACTCCAAATCTCTACAGTAAATAGCCAGTCAAGTCCTATTTATTGATAGCAAGCCCAACCAGGGATAAACCAGACATTGTAGACTTTATTTGTGACAACATAATAACTGAATAGTGTATGACTGGAGGCAAGAGGAAAAACGATTAATTGAATTGTTGGGGTGGAAGAATCTATTATCATAGATGCATACTTAACTTAATTTTAGTCCAAGAATTAAAAAGGAATACAAAATATAAATATTTCATAATGTAGTATATCAAATTAAAATCCAGGCTAACATATTGAACAATGTCATGAGTTAGGCAATAGCCATAGCGCCATAAATGATTACTAGTGACCAAAGATAAGTCCTAATCTGTATCGTTTTCCTTTTTATTGAGGATGGAACATGCAGTTTTTTTTGTTCTGTCAAAAGTCAAACCGATGTAAAAATGTACTTAAAATGTGAAGGAGAAAAGAATAGTTTTTTGGCAAAACAATTTTCTTTTTTTTTTAAAGATTTTAAATTTCAACTAAATATTTTAATATTCTTTTGTAGGTAATTTTTTTCTTTTGAATAAATAGTTTCAATTCCCAAATACATTGCTTAAGCCGGTCATACACTGTATGATTCTTTGCCCTTTTTGGGGCGATTTTCCGATCGTACGGAAATTTTTTGATCTTTAACTTTCAGCCTGATTGTGCGTTGTGTAGTATACAAAGGGTAAGAGGGGTGATCCGCCTCTCACAACTTCCTCCCGATCAGGAATCGTGAGGTCGGCAAAAAAATCAAACATGTCTTAAATTCAGTCGGCATTTGTGGGCAAACAGCTGTGGGCATGCACAAACAAGCATTCTTCTTCCTCTCAGACATGGCGGGGGTTTGAATGAAATGGAGTTCTTTCTGTATAATTGACAGACCGTAGTAGTCACATTTACTCAGCCATGTTTTCGTCCAAATACGTCGTCGCCTTTTCTTTTTAGGGCTTTCAGCACAAAATTGCACAAATTGCCGAGGCAGCACGTTTCACTCTAGTGAGCTTGATATTCCTACTACTCATTTGGCTCCCGGATAGAGGAATCTAAGTAGCTCCATCTCACTGCGGAGCTGAGTCCGACGTGGTTTTTAGACGTACAGTGTGAGCAGGTAGATCGCATCAGAGTGTCGGGTCGCACAGTGTGAGAACATACATAGTGAACTGTGAACTTTTAAACCCTGCGGTTTCGTCGTACAGTGTGAGCTGTAACTGCGTGCAGCTATTGAAAATATTGCAGTGTATGCCCGGCTTAAAGGAGGCTGTAATGACCCAAGTCTCAATGTAATACACATGAACAACATATTGATAATCCCTTTATCAGTTTATAATCTCAGCTAAAACCACAAATGCAGCATAAACAAAGGTGTTCCAATTAGTCCCTAAGAAGGATTTTTTGGTAAATGTACAGTGTTGGATGTTGTAACAGTAAAGTACAGTCTAAGCCCTTTTATCGGCATGGTATTCAGATATTTATACTAGTCTGAATCTCTATTAGGCAGGTTTAAACTCCTAAAAGTCTAGCTTTGCAACATTCAAATTTCAACATCGATTCAGAAAGCTGTGTAGTGAAAGTTAGAAGACACCCTACAACAAAGAAAATAGTCTGCCAGAGGCTTAGCGCCCAGGTTAGTCAGTTCCATATGAGCCATGATGTGAAGAAAAGCTGCTGAATTATATTAGATTCCTCAGGGTTGAAACATTCTGAAATGGCTTCAAGGATGATGCAATGCTCCGGTCAGTTTTATTATAAGAGATGAAACTTTCCTTCTTCTAAAAGTGCATTACTGCTGTACTTAGGGAGAGACACTATTATATACTTTTTAATATTCATTGCCCAGGAAGATGTTTTAAAGCTCAAGCAGGAATAGTCAAGCATTTTATTTATAACTGCTGTGCTGGCCTTAAAGTGGCTATGAAGCGGAAACTTAGATCCCATTAGATGAGATGTTATTTAATTTTCAGAAAACAAATTCCTCTGAAGCTTAAGATACCAACTGAGCCACAGACTAAAGTAATTGAAAAACTTCAATTTAGTTATTTTTGTCATTTATTTTAATTTTTCTATTTAGTTATATATCCATTCTATGATTAAAAAAATAACACCATTTCCATTAAGTACATGTATAGGCTGGTAACCAGCATCAAGATATAGGTTGATTTAAAAAAACTAAAATTGTTCAAATTTCAGACTAACACACTTTTCTCATGATCTATATATATATATTTTTTTCCATGCCATTAACGGCCTTTTCAAAAGCTAATTAAGAACACATTTGTCAAGTAAGGCTATGAATGTTTCATATCACATTCTTTTTTAACTAATTTATCGTTTGATGTTTGAATGTTTTTATAATTCTATTACATGCTTTGGTTTCCTTATTCTTCTATTTATTGGCTTCCTGTAGGACCATTGATAGATTTTAAAATCCTCCTTCTCACATTTAATGCCTAAAATTACAAAGCTTTATCTTATATTAGAGATCCGGTTATTTCTTATATTCCTAACAGACGACCTCACTTTCAATCTGCAGGTTTACTAGTGGTTCCTAAAATTTCTAAAAGTAGAATGGGAGGCAGATCTTTTAGTTATCAGGCTCCTTTTCTGTGGAACCAACTACCAGTTTTAGTTCGTGAGGCAGACACCCTGTCTACTTTTAAGGGTAGGCTTAAAACTCTTTTTGATAATGCTTATAGTTAGAGAGGCTCAGGTTATCTCTCTAGTTATGCTTCTATAGGCTTAGGCTGCTGGAGGACAGGAAACCCTTTTGCCTCCTTCTGCTTAATTCTAGCTCTATTCTGCCATTCTGTAGTATTTGAAAATCAACCATTAACAATGTTCTTTCAGCTCTTCCCATCATAGTTGCTTCATAAGGTACACCATCCTGGAGAGAAATAACAGCTGGGGTCCTTCATCTACACCTTAGATTATAGATGATAGAGTTGGGTCTGTTTTCAGTGCTTGGTCATATTTCTCCCCTGTGCAAAGCTCAGCTTCTACTGTGACTAACTGTATGGGCTCCCTTTCGTCCCGTTGACATGAAAACTGGTTCAGAGCTCATCAGCTCAACCGTTTCTCTCCCAGACAGAGCCCACTATTTTACCATTAACTTTTCCAACATAAAAAGGATTCATAGTTCAGTGGTTTTATATTAGATTTGCATGTCTTCATCTGTCTACTTTTGTCTCCTCTGTAAAGTGCCTTGAGATGACATGTTTTGAAGGGGCTCTATATAAGTGAACTATCCCTAAATATAAATAAACTGAATTGAAATTGAACTGAAGATGGTCGCTCACATTGATCCTGGTTCTGCTGGAGGTTTCTTCCTGTTAAAAGGGAGTTTTTCCTCTCCACTGTCTCTTCAAGCATGCTTAGTGTGAGGGATTGCTTTTGAGTCGATGAAATCAACTGGTTTTCCTCGATAGAAAACTTTGTATCAATCTGACTGTATGATCTGGTGAACTGTAAAGTGCCTTGAGATGATATGTGTTGTGAATTGGCGCTATATAAATAAACTGAATTGAACTGAATTGGATATGAAAGAAGCTGTAATTAACATAAGTTTGCTTGAAATATTAAAATTCGCAACAACTATTATACTTTAAAAAAAAACTAAAATAACATTTTTAAAAATCGTTAAAAATCATGTTGCAGCATTGCCCTCATATATTGGCAGTTTTATTCATCTAGCTTCTGGAGCCCTAATTTCAGCCACTTATATTCATGTATTCATGCTCTGATTGAACAATGTTAACTAGAGGTATTACAGCCTGTCCCATCAGGTGGATATTTCCCTCTGATTAAGTGAACAAAGCATGATTAATATGTGAAATAGAGCCTGCTGATGATTAAATCATTAAAGATTCTAGGAATGTCATTATGCAGCAGCTCTTCTGTCAACCATAACAGGCAGAGTTCTCCCACTATGGCCATTGTTCACTGCAGAGCATCAGTCTATCCTAAGGGTACAGTTGCAAATCGAGCGGACTGCAGCCACAGTTAACCAGAGATAAGCTGCTTGCCCTGAGGCCATCTTGTCAAATAGATGGATGACATACCTGGAGCGCTGAACTGACGCACAGAGGTAGATCTTGTCTTGTCATGAACACGACTCAGGCTGCAACCTTTGGGCACACCCCAGGACGCTGTGCTGACCCTGCTGTCCTTCTCCTCGGCTGTGTCATAGACCTCCACGTGGGGAGCACGCTCGGTCAGGTTTTTGCTGTAATGGCTCAAACCGTACTGGGCAATCTGGATGGCATAGAAGTAACCCTGAGGGCCCCACTGAGTGGAGAGAGGCACACCTGTGTGGAAAATTAGGAAGCATGAAAGGATTGTTTTAAAACTGAGCCTGAGAATGTAGCTTAAAAAAAGAAATCCCTTTTAAAAATCCTACGTTTTATTTCAGTTCATTTGAAAACATTCAAATTGTTCTTAGATAAATTTATAAACACAATTAAAAAAACTACCCCATCAATAATGCATTCTAAAAGAGAAAAAGAAAGCACTAAATAGGAAAGCATAAAAAAAGCAATAAAATGACACACCAGTGATGGCAAACTATTGGATAATGCTGTGAAATTTCAGCTAATCTGCACTATTTCTCTGCAGGCTGTCCCCCAGCAAAGTGAAATAGCTCAAGCAGGAGAATTACTGATGAACAGATAGCTCTCTAAAACCTTATGACAAGCGGGATGCATGTTCCCCATAAAATCCATCCATTTAAGAAGAAGATAATAAACTTCGCCTGAAAATGTGCCACCTCTTTTAGAGCAAATGAAAACTACACTGATCATTGATTGTATCATATCGCTATATTTATAAAAACAAAACAGAAAAAAACAGATGTCGCAACTCATGCACTATATTACATATTTTCCTTAAAAACGCGATGCTAATGCTGATTAAAAAAACAACCCAAAACATTCACCTGTTAAGATAATTATCATTGATGATGTGTGAGTTTATTACACCCTAATATTAGCTGCATGCTGCATGTCAGAAGTAATGTTTTCCCCAGTAGTTTATCTAATTAGGACAGGTCCTCTGTCTGGATATACAGTTATCATCTTCATTTTCTACGTGGCAAAAATTGGGAATGGAATGAGAGCAGTGTCCTTCAGCCAAGAACAAAGTGTAATATTGTGATAAGGCTGGAGCCTTGGAGGTCTCCTCATCTGCAAACTTGTATGATGTAATGATGTGATGATGTGGCAGACTGGAGTTGTATAAAATGCTTCTTTAACTGTTTATCTGAGCTGCTTCCCGAGAAGTGAGCCCGGTTGGTAAGCAGCTGCCTTCTGTAACTCTAAGCAACTTCTCTGATCTGTGATGGATTACAATTTCTATCAAAATCAGTTGTCATGTCTCATAAATAACTCTTCATATACATTATTAAGTGTTATTTAAAGAGTCTGTCCTGAGTGATCTCTTTTCAGGAAAAAGAACCAGAGAGAGAAAGCTTCAAGGTGTAAACACAGAGCTTACCTTTAACATACTTTTTAAGCTTTCTGGTGACTAACGCAGAAAAAACAAACAAATTTAAATTAAACTTTAGAATATTCAGTTTGGGCTATGCTTGTTTAGATTAATTATAAAACAAAAAGGAGGAAAAAAAAACAAAAAAACCCCCCTAAAGTTAAAATAACCTGCAAAATGTACTGCCTGCAATAAAACAGATAATTATTATGAACTCTGGGGTGAAACGTAAGTGAGATGTTCTGAATCAGTTCCTTAAATGCAAACAGTCAGCAGCATTTTAAAGCAGCATTGAATGAGTCCACACAGTTTTCTGCTGCTTTCAGCTGCCTTTCTGTTTCTGACCTCTATTCACATTTCCTTCAATCCAAATAACTAGTTATGTGCAGGAAAATGTTTTCTTTGGTCCTTTTAATAGTCATAATGATATTTCTGTCAAACTGTTACATCAGCTGTATATCATCAGATCAGATGGAGCGACATCGTTCCACTGCACCACTCAGTTATACTGCTTCCTGAATAATCCATCTGTGTTTTCACATTTATGAAGAAAGAAAATTAAAATTAAATTGATATAATATGATACATTTATGCCTTTCTGCAGTATGAGCTTTGTTACTTAGCATACATTGATTGTAACCTTACTTTTAAACACAAACACACATCAGACACCAATGCAGCACATCAGAAGTGAACATTCTGGTGTAAATTTTCTGTAGTGAAGTTATCTGAAACCTGACTGAGTATTTCTTCATTTGAGCGATGCTGACAAGAAAGAGGATAAACTCATATGCATGCAGATCCACAAACATTTATTTCAATGCTCCTGGAAGACTTTTCTCTCCGCCTGTCTTGTTACTTGCATCTCCCTCAACAATTTAAGTTGTGGCTGTCATATTCCAACACGGCGGCAAAGCAGAGCTGCACTGAAGTAAAGTAATACATGTTAAACTGACTACAAAGTCTGCAGATATTCTCCTGTCTTTTTGGAAAATAAGCTGACATTAGGATTAAGGTGGGATTAATGTAGCAGCAAAGTCTCAATGTAGTGTCTTAACCAAATGTGAGTAGCAGAAACTTATGTACTCAAGAGTATCATTACTTCATCGTATTTTTACTCAAGTAAGAGTAAAAAGTAGCCACTGAAGACATTACTCAAGTATTTGGTGAAAAGGCTACTCAAGTAGTAAGTAACTCATCAAAAGGCTGATATTAGAGATCGTGTAATAAAGACAGAACAAAATGTAAAGCTATGTGCAAATTCTGGTATTTAAAAAAATATTAAAATTATTTTAATAACTAAAAAATAAGTCAATGCAGGGAGAAAAAAAATCTAAACCAGTCCTTTTTTTTTTTTAACATAAAACATATAAAACCTATTACCTCCAAAAGCAATATTTACTTCTTGCTGTATATGTCCTTGACCTTTAAATGTCAAGGTAGGTTCAAGTAAGCTTGTGTATTGAAAAAAAAAAAAAAAAAAAACTTTGTGTTTGGAGCCCCTTTTTTTTTTAACATGCTTCAGTCAAGTTATTCACAATAGACAGTGTAGCCCAATATTTTAATCAAGAGTAGAGATATTCTATAAAGGTATCGCTAAACCAAAAATAAAAAGTCTGGTTCAGTAGAATTAGTCCTAAAAGTGTATTTTTTTTTTCAAAAAGTCACTCAAGTAAATCTGACTAAGTAAATGTAACTAGATACTGCCCACTTCTGTTCTTAACTAGTCAACATTTTTTTTGTCATTTTGTCAACCTTAAGTAAGGTAGGAAACTCAGTTCTGCAGAAAATTAAAATATGAAAAAACCTATGTAAAAACCCTTCAATAAAGAAATCATCTGTTAGGGTCTGCAAAAATATGTTAAAGACAGCTGACTCAAGAGTTGTCCAGCAAACAGACACCAGCAGCCTGCAAAAGAAAGATAAGCCGCAAAAGGTCATTACTAAGGAATGTGGTTGTTCACAGAGTGCTGTATCCAAGCATGTTAATGAAAAGTGGAGAAGAAAAAGGTAGACGAGCTTAAGGGATCATACACGAACAAAGAATAAAAGGACTAAATTGCTGCTTAGTGGTATATAGTTAACTTCATGGATTTAAAAAAAAATAATAGCATTTTATTTTATAATGTTTCTACAGCAAGCCTGAAGTTGGTGCAGCCATCTACCAGGAACAGAGGACTCCAAGCTCTTGCATTAGTTGTTAAGCCTCATTGAGATGCTAATTGTATTTTTCTATAAGACCTTCACACCTGCCATTCTGGCCAAAAGTGCCAAAACCTGGTTTCCACACCACAATATCACTATGCTTAATTATCCTACTAAGTCATATCCCCTGACCTCCACAGAGAATTTATGCAAATGACCTACATACTGCTATTCAATCAACCATGGCTTCATCAACACCTCGATGGAATCGTCTGTGGGCCACATCGTATTGATGCAACAATTGATGCAAAATAAGCCCAGATCAAGAATTAAATGCATATCTTGTACAGTGGCCATACTTTTCAGCAATCTGAATTATTTTTTCTCATAAAAAATACATTGTTCTTACAGGATGTTTTGACAGATGTTATCAAACTGACAACAAATGTTGTTTTAAGAGAATTTTAACAGCTTTGATAATAAAGCTTTAAATCACCTAAAAATACTCTATTTCTACATTTATTATGATTATCAGTATATAATTCATAGAAAAATAAAAAAGAACTGCTGAGAACATTCTAAAACATTAAATGAAATATAATTTAATTTTAATTACTTAAGCTTGAAATATTTATACCATCTGGGAGAATATCCAGTGCCAGATGCTGACTGGTCATTACAATAATTAATGTGTCTGGCTGAAGGTTTTGTTAAATAACTTTTCAGGAAGTTGTGAAGCACATTGGGGGAAAAAAAACTCCCTTGACCTTCATTAAGCCCTGTGGTACCTCTGTGACAAGTTAATTAATAGACTGCTCTTTCCACCTCTAAAATTAAACTAAGTTAGGAAGAAGTGTGTACACCTGAACATTTGAACGTTAAACAGAAAATCAGCCTTAGGCACTGTTTATAGATATTGAAACAGATATATTATAGAAATACAAATGTGTCTCCTCTATTTCAAACGGGTGAAATAATAGGGAAAAGGGATTCAACGTTGAACCCAGAGATTTGCTTTAATTCCTCTTTGACCCATTTTCCATCATACACACACATGTTCTCATCTTCCTGCAGGAAAGGAAAGGGTTTACTAATTTTTTCCAGAAAAAAGCTATGTAGTGCAACTCTGGTAAAAATGCAGGAAGTTTTATAACAGACCAATAGCAAATCTGTTAAAAGTATGCAACGTTATCTGCTAAGCTAACAAACACCTCTTGCTTATCTGAACTACACATTCACAATTAACACTTTTTCTCTAAATTCTCTACATCAATTAGGAAATTTGCTAAAAAGTCAGTGACTCAATATTTTTATGTATAGAAACACTTTTACCAATTTGGATTTAAATAAAAAATAAATAAAAATTCATTGTTTTCTAACTAGCAATATATTGGAAAGTGTGTGAGTTAATTATTCTGTCTATACAATTAGACTGAACTTAAATTATATTTCTCAGATTTTTGTGGATCACTTAATTTTGTAAAATTTCTTAAGAGATTGTTATGAATCATAGCTCTCATTGCATCCACTGAATGCAGAGGCTAGCATTAGCTCAAAAACTGCAAAGAGACGCCAGTTAAAAGTTGTTAGTACCATTTCTTATGCTACGTTCACACCTAAAGCAGCAGGCGCAGCAGAAGTAGCTAGTTTACATGCAAAGTCAATGGTTGACGCGCATCAAGGCGGAGCAAAAGGTCCTGCAGCCTATTTTGAGCATCTGAAGCAGTGAAGCATCAGCTGCTGTAGTTAGAAAAATTTAACTTTAGGTGCACGATATGCTACCTCAATCAGAGAAGCTGATCTGGGAGCTGGCAGGGAGACTGACACAGCACTGCTGATGCAGATTGATATAAGCACTCCTCTGAAACAGTTTATGAATGCCTAAATTAACTTAAAATTTCAAAACCTGCCGACAAAATATGTTCAATCTTAATATTCTGGTGCCTGCAGTTTGGATTACGAAAATGAAAAACGCCTTCCAGCCGCAGCAAACAGTAGTGGAAAACTGCAAAGAGGCGACCAGGCCAGAGGCTGCAGTTGAAGGGGATTTCAAGTGACAGAGCACTGCTGGTGTATGGGGGGTCTGAGAGGCTCTGACAGTGAAATAACATTCAAAGGCAGGATCATAATCTTGATAAACTGATTGCAGAGATAAGGTTTTCAGGTGGACTTTCTCACTTAAAAACATATTAAAACTACCTTTTACCCACTTATGACAGCAAATATAGCTGCCATTGTTACAGGCAAAGAAAGGATAGGGTAGCTCCGCCCAACGCGCATCAGAGCCACTTTTCGACCACGCAGCTAGAGCAGCAAAGATGCTTCAGCCGCGCATCAGAACTAAACTTGACAAGCATCAAAAATGAAGCAACACAAGCATTTTTGCTGCTCCTGCTGCGTGCGGTCTGAACGTAGCATTATGCTGACTACAACTGGGATTCATAACTGCTAACTTTAGCTAAACCGTTGATTTTATATAAGAGATGAATGGAAAACAACTTTATTGCTAGTATTGGTTAGTATACTTTAACTGCCTAACAAGCTACTATTGGCAAACCAAACAAATTTGCTGTCAATATCTTATCTTGCTATAATATATATATATATATATATATATATATATATATATATATATATATATATATATATATATATATATATATATATATATATATATATATAAAATATATTTAGATTATACAATATAATAAATGTCTTTAAGACCAACTGTTTCCACATGTTCTGGCTCTTTCATCACAAAAAACATTGATGATCAGAGGTCAAAAAAACCGTCCCAGAATTTCAGCCTCAGTGGTTTGTCAGATATTTGTGAAAAGGTGACCCTAAAATGACTCATTTAGAAACTGCATGTTGATTCTTTAAGTAGCTCATAAAAACGGGAGGGACATACTGTTGGATGCAAGTTTAGCAGCATTTAATTTCATCCCTGTGTGCAGACCTCTATGAAAATAGTTCTTTTTGATGGCTTCAGTGTCATCCACTGTCTAATTCCACTGTGCCAGCAGTTAAAAGAATAAAGCCAAGGAAAAAGAATAATGCATCTCAGGAGAATTAAAAACCCATTCAGGAAAGTTAAATAGCTTAAAAAGAAACCAAATACAGTTTGTAGTGAAAGAAACCTTTAGCATTTTTTTAATTAAACAAAAGCGTATATTTTCTCCAACTACAAACTTCAAAAATGTAGCATGTATGAGGCTGTAGTTCAACATTGTGTCTATCTTCAGTTGCTTCACTGATCTTAAGATAAAAGAATAATAATGAATAACTGTTTTGCACCTAAGTTATTGGGCCACTTATTTATACAAGCAAGAAGCAGAGCTATATTGATGACCGTATAGCTTCAACTAGCCTTTGAAAATGAGTTATTGATCCTTCCTGGCAATTATTTCAGATGGAAACTTAGAAAAAAACAACACTTCTCTGATAAGAAACTGAGGGCATTCTCACAGGCTTACACACAGGTGTTTGTCAGAAGATAAAAACAGATAGAGTACAGATAATGAAAATTTTGAATGGATTTGAACTCATTTCTATTTGGCAATTTTGAGGTTTTTCAATTTAAAAAAAAAGAGCTACAAAGGTAAAACAAAGGTAATCACCAAGGTAAAACTTGATTAGAGAATGTAAAGTTTGTAAATCTTGTAATAGATTAGACAACATAAAGTTTGTAAATCTTGTAATAGTTTAGACAACATAAAGTTTGTAAATCTTGTAATAGATTAGACAACATAAAGTTTGTAAATCTTGTAATAGATTAGACAACATAAAGTTTGTAAATCTTGTAATAGATTAGACAACATAAAGTTTGTAAATCTTGTAATAGATTAGACAACATAAAGTTTGTAAATCTTGTAATAGATTAGACAACATAAAGTTTGTAAATCTTGTAATAGATTAGACAACATAAAGTTTGTAAATCTTGTATATCAAAGAGAGAAACAGATCAGGACCAGGTAATTAAAATCTCCGTACCCTCTACTCCACTGATGCACTTTACACGGTCGCGGACCTCGACATTGTATCCTTCGAAAGACATGAAGACTCCTTCTGGGTGGTAGGGCTCCCGCTGGGCATAGACCTTGGAGTAGCTGTGCTGGAACTCAAAGCGATCGTAGCCATCATACTGCACAATCTTTCCGTATACTTCAAAGTATTTCTCCACCCAGCTGAAGGGAAGGTAGACCTCCGCTCCTTCTCGTCTGCCTTTGATGGTGGATTCATCGTTGATCAGGCAGTCGATTTCTTCATATTTGATTCCACCAACCACGCCAACAACAGGTGGGGGCTCTGGAGGCTGTGGCGGTTGTTGCTGGCTGCTACTGATCTTTGCACTCGGAGCCACAAATGCCGCCCGAGGGAGGAACCGAAGGGAGATGTCACTGGAGCAGCGGTTCCATAACAGCACCGTTATGAGTGTGAAGAGGGCACATATAACTATGAGGGTCTTGTAGTTCACCCGAGCAGCCAGGCAGCGCATTGTCACAACCAGCCTACAAAACATAAGCAAAACATCAGAAGCATGCAAAATGTACATTCACTCAAGTCTGCATTAGGAGAGGTAAACTTTCTTGTGACCTGTAGAGAAAAGCAGAACTTTTTGGGTGAAATTAGTAAGAGTTTTAAAATGCAGGTCATTAAAACTTAACAGTAAACACAAGAAAGTGGATGCATAAGTTTGAATTTACTGTGGGTAAAAAAAAAATTACCAAAAGAAAATAAAACATACAAGGAGACTGAAGAAAAATGCCTTCTATGCAAACATTTTAAGGTCAGATCAAAGAAAAGAATCAAACCGTTTGGCCACAATACAATTTAGGTATGCTTCCAGGGTCATGTTGTTGCTTTCCAACAAAAGACAGCCTTGGGATGTTTGACTTGTTCTGTTTGATAGCTTATCCTTTCCTAGATTTTTAATGTGGATTGATTCCAGGAAGAAGAGCTGGGAGGGTCATAGATGCAAAGTCTGTTCTATAAATAATATTTTAATCTAGCAAAATGTATTTATTTTCTTTTTTACCTGGCAGTGTGCTTAATGTCACATGACAGCATCTGAATGATAAGCATCTCTTGGTTTTACAAAACCTTCAGAATTCCCTGCTTGGTCTCTTTAATTTTGCAAGCCATGGATTTTAAGCATCACACCACAGCCACCCTGTTTGACTGTTGATTCGATCCTGCTTTATATATATATATATATATATATATATATATATATATATATATATATATATATATATATATATATATAAAAAACGACATTTGTTTATTTTAGTGCTGTCAATCGATTTAATTTTTTTAATCGCGATTAATCGCATCAATGCCTGAGTTAACTCGCGATTAATCGCATTTTAATCGCAAATTTTTTTTCAGATTGAAAATCATTTAAATACTCTCGATGACATACAAAAAATACATACAGGCTAGGTTTGTGCCAATGTTCTTTTTTTAAAATGAGAACAGGTCACAGACACTGATTTATGCCATAGAAACATATGGCAAGAAGATGGGGAGGCATATAGCAAAAAATAACAAATATGTAGGCAAAAAAAAAGGCCCTGAAAACAGGCTGATGTAAAAGACAGTCTTTACAGTTAATACAGTCTTTTGAACAAAGACAAGCATTTTACCCTACTGCTATAAAATGTAGTACAGTTAACATTAGATGTTAATTAACCAAGATAATAATGAACAATTTTCAATCAATACATCAAAATCAATAGACCGACATCACTAGATGGAGGTAGTCTATGCTCTAGAAAGTTACTTTTCAGCCTCTTAACAAAAATGAGAACACACACACACCCACTCACCCACACACAGACACACCCACCCACACGCACACACACACACACACCCACCCACACGCACACACACACACACACACACACACACACACACACACACGATACCGACCTGTGGCGAGCACAGACAGCAAGAGTGCCGTAGCAGATTCCATTTCACCTCAGTAATCAGTTTTCTCAGCGTATTTCAGGTTGCTACTAGTTACCAGACACTCAACTTGTTTGTTGGTGGTGGGGCTTAAAGAAAAGGCACTAGCATCACCCAGTGTATGAGCGTCTTTTTTCCTTGAGGAGCTCCGCTCTAGAAGCCTATGAAAAATGCATACACTGGGGGGAAATAGCCCCGCCTTCCCGCAGGCTGCAGCGGGATGTACTTGGAAAATTGTACCATAAAACCACATAGCGTTAATCTCACGTTAAAAAAATTATCGCCGTTAAAATGGCCTCGTGTTAACGCGATAATAACGCGATAATTTTGACAGCACTAGTTTATTTAATGCAATCATCTCAGATAGCAATTAAATGTTTATATTTACAAATAGAGATCTTTCCAGTTTTTATTTTATGAAATATGCGGCACATTTAGCTTTCCATATGCCCCAGTCACATTTGATCCCATTTATAGATTTTTACTTGTGTGATTTCTACTTGTCACACGTTTAAATTAGACTACAAAATGCTCTGTTCAAAATCTTTCCTAAGCAGTTAAGGCTGTACAGTAGGATGGTCAATTTATTCACTTCCACTGCAGCCTTTTTTCAGCAGTGGACGCGCCCTCATTGGTCTGTTCTTAATTATAACTTAATCTAGCAAAGATTGGGAACAAAACCTCGACAGAAAAGGCTGAGTTGTTCCATCAGAGCGCTTTAAGCAATGACCGCCTTCTCGGGCTTCTGCAGGTGAGGTCTTTCTAAAGTTCTGTTTGATCTAAAGCTGATCCTGCGGCTTGAGGCGGCTTCTTCAGGTGAGAACCGCTGTACCTTTCCATTTAAAGTGATGGAGCAACTGACTGGCCATGTACAGAGGGGGAGATTAAGGTTTGTATTTTCTTGTCTCCTCCTGCAGCGCAGCCAGCCTTATGTATGTATAGCAGCTTCACAAACTTCAGAGAAACTGCGTCGACAGCATAACCAGTTAGAAGGAATGGATGGTGGGGGTCTTCCCCAATACCGCAGTAGGTAATCAATAGAAAGTATTTATAGAAAAGGCTAAATTAAAGCTTCAATTTCCTTGCAAACATCTTTAAAAAATAATATTTGTGGCAAAAGATGTAGGAGGCTGATTCAGCCCCCCCCCCGCCGCCCCCCCCCCCCTACCCTGGGCAACTAATCTGGTTGCCCCCCCTGTCGGCAGTTGTGGATGGAATATCATTAATGTTCCCCACAATAGGGAAATTCATGCGTATCAACAACAAAGTAAAAACCAAAAACAGCAACTAGTTTCACACATTTCACTAAGAAACTATAAAATGTTTCACACCTAAAAAAAAGAAACAAAAATCTGAATTAAAAACAGGAATTAAAAATTAGAACAGACTGGAAATGTGCATTACAACAAAAACCTGGTTCAGTATCCAAAGGGATACTGGGTTACTTGGATTATATTAAGTGGACAACATAGCCTGGTGACTGAAACCCATAAATGGTGCATCTTTAGTCAGCATGAGAAAAAGAACCATTCATCCCCCCAAAATAGAAAACTTTTCAAATATTAACACAGCTACAGATATATATATATATATATATTTTTTTTTTTATCTTATTGGCGTTCACTTTTCTATAGTTATCCGTCTCCTACTCCGCTTACCGAGTCAGGCCTTAATCCAAGGACAATGTAGCCTTCCTAATGAGTTTGTCTAAAGTCACTCCCTCTCTGCTATGGATAACCTGCTGCTATAACAAGCTAGTTTATAAATGGCTGATGCCACAAGCGCAGTTTTAACAACTTGAAAATATATATATTAGTCTCTGTCTCCAGGATCAAATTATTTACAGTCAGTTTAAAAATGAGAAACAACTTTTAAGCTTGTATTTCACAGCAATTAGTGTGCTAATAGGGACACCTTTTAAACTGTAAAACTATTTCCACAGAGAGTTAATCATTATGGTTTAGATTGCTATATAAATTTCCCAAATGGACTCTGATGTGAACTGGTGATATATTTTTATTCTAAGGTTGTCGTTTAACTTTAGAGCACTACGCCTCCGACCTGGTCACTTGATACTGCACCTGCAGATCAAACTGAGTCTAAACTCAATTACCCTTTCTAAAAGGTTTACCCCATCACTCATGTCTTGCAATGACAGTTTTGAGTCCACCCATAAGACTTTATTTCAAATGAGCTGCATTAATGTCGCCACTGGGCTATCATTAGTATTGTCTATCCTATATCCACTGCTTAATAAAAAGACCATGCAAAGGTTTTCTTTTCGCAATTATTCAGCGGGTTACCATTTTCTATTGAAAAAGCTTTAATTGCACCACATAAAGCAGACATTTTTCTTCCCCTATTGTGAGTCAGGATTCATGTTTTTCTTTGACATTTCCACCAAGCAAACAAGAAATCAATGCACAACCTTTAGCTTCCTCCTCCACACTAATTACAGCTTACTGCCCACAGAATTTACTGCTAAAGTGAAGACCGAGCAGGGAGAGGGGAAAATCATTACTATCCAAGTTTATTTCACTACCTCATCCTAAATGGGCCCAAGCTAAAAGTAGGAGTGATTAATGTACAATAATTTCAGTGATAGTAATCTACTTCTACAATGCAAAGTCAAATCATTGAGCAAGAGGCATCCAGAACATTGCTGATCTATCAAATAGTTCCAATCAACAAGGATGGTGTACTAAGTGCTTTGAACGGCAAACTTGGAAAGAATGCAAATCATACAATAAGTCATATCGGATTATACTTGCACAATTTGCTGCCCTGTACCGCAGTGTAACATCACAGTCTGATCAATCACTGGGACACTCTTTACCGATATCAGGAGATACGACAGACCAGTAAGGGGATGCAACACCAAACTGACTGAAGCTCCAACTATTGTAGAAAGAAATGCAAGTAATAAAATAAAAATCCCACAGACTGCCCCCTGAAAGATAAGTAGGACTGGTCCTGACAAGGAACTCGGTATAAATGATTGTCTCTTTTTATAGCTCAGTCCTGCTGCTGTTGAGCTTATAGCCTCAGTTGATATACATGGAGGCTTAGGTACAAAAGCATAAACCAATGCCCTCTTTCACAAATGCAACATAGATGTTTTCTTTAGAAAATTAAAAATCTATATATTTTATCACTGCAATTGTGTGAAGTATTTTTTAAAACTTAAAAATTCATATATTGTCTCAAAAAAAAAAAAAAAAGAAATTAAGCATTGGAATAAAAACTTGCAGACTAAGGGCTAGAAGAACACCTTGCACCCAGGTGTTCATGATATCAGCCGCTTAATAATTTTAGGTAGTATGTGGAAAAATGTTAACCTACCAGCAAAAAAAGGGGAAAAAAATAAAAAATAAAACTTCTGATAACACACCGGGGTCAAAGAAAAAACAAAACATAAACAGACGTCCCTTAATCTTCTTTTAAACTGCCAACGACCCTGAATAAGTTGACCTAAAACTCTAAATTCAGCAATTCACTGCCCTCATGGTCAGTCAGGCTGAAGAGCTGCTAAACATTTATC